CAGATAGACCAAAAGGCATACAGACAGACACACACACACACAAGACAGACACACAAACCCAGATAGAGAGATACAAACACACACACACACACACAGATATGAGACAAAAATTCACAGCCACACTCCCATACAGGAGACAGACACACTCGTGCACACACACACACACACACACACAAAATAGACACACAACAGACCGACCCACAAACCCAGATCCAGAGAGAGACGGATCCAAAGACAGGAGGACGCGAAGTCCAGAGGGACCGAGGCGGGAAGACCCCCGCGCGCAACCCGGAACGCGAGAGGCGCGCAGAAAGACGCACAGACACACGCGCAGCCTCGCGCACACACTCACACACACGGACCCCGAGACCCAGACACGCACACACACACACAGGCACACACAGAGCAGCGTGGAGGGAGCCGAAGACAAGGCAGGCGCGGACGCGCACCTCCCCACGCGCGCAGGCGGGCACGGAGCCCTTCGGAAGCGGCTGCGCCCGCCCCACCTTGCCGGGAGGAGCGCCTCCGCCTCGCGGGCGCCGCCGCCGCCGCCGCCGCCGCTTCTCCTCCTCCTCCTCCTTCTCCGGCTGAGGCTTCGGCTGCGGCGGCCGCTGCCCTCCCTCCCCGGGCCGCCCATGTACGCCTTCTACTCGCTGCTGGTGCTGGTCTTCTACGCGCTCTTCAAGAAGGGCGATGCGGAGGGCCAGGCGGAGGCCGGCAAGCGGGGGCGGCGGCCGCGGCGGCTCCCCGAGGTAAGAGATGCTCCGCCGGCCGGAGGAAGCGGGGGTGGGGCTGGCGGCGGGCTCTTCCAGCGCTTTTAGCCAGGGCTCCATCCGGGGTTGGGGGGGGGTCTCCCGAGGAGGGGCCGGCTGGACCCTCCTTGCCCTCCGGGAAGGGGCTCCGGGCTCCCGGGACCGAGCGCGGGGCTGGAGCATCCCCGGCCCGCCCGCGCCGCAGCTCCGAGGGCCTGGAAGAGGGCCGGGGGGTGGGTGGGCAAGCGAGGCCGGGCAGCGCCCCTCCCTCTCGGCCTGGTCCAGCTCCGGCGGAGACCCGCCAGCATCCTTGCATCGGAATCCGCCTTTTTTTTTTCCTTTATTTGGGGGGGAGGAGGAAGGTGGGACCCCAGCAATACAATAGCTTATTACTGTGAATAATAATTAATAATCAATACTCGATATTAATGCAATAATAATAAATAAATAATAGTTCCTTATTAATTAATTATACTATTATCAATGATAATGATAGGCTAATAATCAATAATCGATATTAATGCAATAATAATAAATAAATAAATAATAATTCCTTATTAATTATACTATTATTAATGATAATGATAAGCTAATAATCAATAATCAATATTAATCTCAATAATAATAGTAATAAATAAATAATAATTCCTTATTAATTAATTATATTATTATTAATGATAATGATAAGCTAATAATAATAAAAATAAATCATGTTAATAATAATAATAACAATAATAATAAAATGGATAATAATTCTTTGTTAATTATATTATTAATGATAATGGTAAGATAATAATAATAAAAATAAATAATCAATATTAAATGTAATATTAATAATAATAATTTAATACATAATAATTATATTATTACTAATGATAATCCTCCTCCTCCTCCTCCTCATCCCTGCCCACCGTCCCTGTCCTGCTTTTCCCATTTATTCGTATTCATTTATCACGTATACACTCATCCCTGTTTATAAAACCAAAACACGAAAAAGTTATAGCAGGTGGAATAGCCTCCTTTCCTGCATTGGGGGGGTGGGGGGGTTGAGCCCACCTGCCAGGCCAGAATAGCTGCATTTAAAGGCTCCCCTTGTTCAAATGCATCCCCCAAAATAGATTGTGGGGGGTTTGCACAGCAGCAGCCCACCCACCCCTTTCTAATTGCAAGTAGCCCCTCTATAGCAGGTGACAGCTTTAAGACGGGTGGACTTCAACTCCCAGAATCCCTCCTCCTCCAGTCATGTTAGCTCAGGAATTCTGGGAGTTGAAGTCCACAAGTCTTCAAGCTGTCAATTTGAAGCCCCTTCATTTAAAATATTTATATGGCCGCCTACTCACTCTCAGGGACTCTGGGCGGCTTGCAAACAATTTTAAAAAAACAACCAATCTAAAAGAATAAAAATCAGTAACAAACACACACACACCCCCAGGAAAGCAGGGGAAGGTTGTTAAAATTCCCCCCGGGATGTGTGTGTGTGTGTGTGTGTGTGTGAAATTGGCCCAATGTGTTTCTCTCCTGTAGAGCAGGCAGGTGAGGCTTCCTCTGCGTGTCGCAGCCCCCTCCCCAAATACCAGCGTGCCAGGTAAAAGGTTGGTCAGGCTGTGGCGTCGTGCGATAAGTGCGAACCAGAAAACGGCAGTTTAGTGCTCTCTGTGGGTGTGCAATGCAGCGTTTCCAAAAATGCACTGGGTGGGTTGCCAGCCACCGACGTGGGTGGGATTTTAATGCGGGCGTGAAACCTACTTAGAAAGAAGAACAGATGGTAGATTTGAGGGGTGGGGGAAGAGAGAGGGAATGGCTGGTCCTGTGCACCCCCGCCAACCCCTCTATCTCAGTGCTGCCCCCCACCCCAGAATCCAGTTTTTTCAGCGGTGTCTCATTTGGATGGATTCCTTCCAAGGACCGGGGTCTGTTTACGTGCCTGGGTGGCACCGAGGGTACAAAGCTAGAAGTATCGAAAACTGGCACCAGGAAAAGTCCAAGCGGTCCATAAAGTCTGCCCTGGGAGTTTGGTTGGGTTTTTTTTGTGTTCCTTTTTTAAAAAAATTTGCTTGTGTCTTTTTAATTATTCATGTTTTTATTTTTATTTTTCAACTAGCTGGATCCCCGTGCTTCGCTACGAAACTGTGTGGTGGGGCTTAGTTTTGGGGAAGGAAAATAAAGGGGGAAGTTTTTTTTGCCTCTGCCTACCAGCATCCGTCGGCATTCATCCGGCTAGCGTCCTTGTCTGTGTGTGAGAGAGAGTTGAGGGCTGTTTGGAAACTGAAACAGTATTTGCTGTGTGAGCAAGGAGGAGACAGCAAGGAGCCTGGGCGTGGCTTAGCTCAACTGTTCTGGACTAAAGCTGTGAAAGTAAAACTGAGACTGAAACTCCTCTGCATGTGTTTTGCATTTGGAAGAGATTTCTTTCCAGGTGGGGAGGGGGAGTAGAACTCCTAAGCGTCAGAGCGTGTTAATAATAATAATATTATTATTAACATTTGATTTGTTGCATATTCAGCCAGAGGTTTAGACTGGATTTGGCATTTTTCTTCGCTCCTCGAGCCCTTCCCAAAGATTCGGGATCACCGGGCATGGATATTTGGTGGTTTAATTGCTATTATTATTGTTGTTCTTCTCATTATTATATTCAATTGCTTTGTTGTATTTTTGTGAAGGTTGATCGGTTTTTCTGGAATGGGGGGGCCTGTGTTTATAAACTCAGGGGCTGATAAGTCACCCACCACCTCTGCTGGATGTCGGTTCCAAAGTTCCTCTACTCTTTCGGTGAAGTCATCCTTTCTAAGGTGGCTTTTGAACGTCCCTCCGTTTGAGATTATACCCCTGATTTTCGCTTAATATTGGAAATACCGTCTTCTACAGCAGGAGCCTCCAACCTTGGCCACTTTAAGCCTGCCTGGCAGAAGAGAGGGCCCCTGAGCATGGGCAGAGTGTTGCTTCCTCTTGGGACACGCCCATGGCTTGTGGTTCTCCCAGGTGACTCTGCCCCGATCTCTTTTTCTCTCTCACACGCACAGAACTCTTACACACCTGTCTTCTAGCAGGTGCATCAGCCTATAGATTTGCATTGCAAGTGGGCAGGAAAGAGCCCCACCCTCAGTGGTGGGGTTGCCATGGCACCTGCCACCGTGGAAACAGAGCCACAGCACCTGGCCGATCCAGGGACCACTCATCTGGGAAAGGGGTTATCCCAGGTCAGCTCCTCCCCCCCAAGGGAGGCCACACCTGTGTGCATCTGGGCGAGGCTGTGCGTGATGGAGAGCAAACAGGGAGCCATGGCACAGAGCTCAGATTCTGGGGTGCGGGGAGGTTGGCTCTTCTGTAGCCGCCCCCTGGGAGTGCCAAATAGCCTGGCCAGAGTTGCAATGGACCAAGCCAAGCGCCTGGCACCAGTGGGCCACACCAGATCATGTGGTGCCAGTGCAGCTGAGTGTCGAAGCCCCTAAAATGGCATTTGCAAAGACCCACCTGAGTACCCCAAAAAGGCTGAGAAGGAAAAGGCCGTATTTGAAAGAGCCAGGTTGGTCTAGGGGTTAAGGCAGCAGGCTGGAAACCAGGAGATGGTGAGTTCTAGTTCTGCCTTAGGTATGAAAACCAGCTTGGTGGCTTTGGGCCAATTACCAGGAGACTGGGAGTTCTAGTCCCACCTTAGGCAGGAAAACCAGCTGGGTGACTTTGGGCCAATCACCAGGAGATGGTGAGTTCTAGTCCCGCCTTAGGCATGAAATCTGGCTGGGTGACTTTGGGCCAATCACCAGGAGATCGGGAGTTCTAGT